AAAAAAAAAAAAGTATATAGCCAGTGCTGTACTTGTACAATATACCAAGGTGCCCTAGTAAAAGAGTTGGCCCACATTGGATGTCACTGCTCCTTAAATATTACATAAACCAATGTGGGAGGCATGCCTTATGCAGGCAATCGTCAGTGTGCTGCTTCAGGCTCCCTAACGAAAGTAGAAGGTAACAGTAAGAAGAAAGGCTTTGGCCCAGGGCATTCAGCTATTGTCAGAGCTCTGTAAGAGACTGTGCCATCCCATAACCTATCTACTTTGTTACATGGAAAATATAGAGGCAAATATTTATGAGTTTTAAAAGATATTAAAAAATTATTACAGCATAAGAAGATTTCTCCTCTTCTTATCTGTCCTTGGAAAGCAGCAAAAGATGATTTTAAAAAGGAGGAGACTACCTGGCAGTCCCCAACTTTGGGAAGAGACCCATGGAGCCTTCCTTTCTCTATAAACTGCCATACGATCGTTTAGCAAATGTGAACCTAAAACAAAATACCTTTTCCTGATTGATACATTACTTTACATTTAAATTCCACATAACTTTCCATGTGACTAAGGTTGGCTGCTGAAATTCATCTAAAAGCTAACTATTTATGTCAGTTTTTACCCCTTTGGGGAAGTATTAGATCACTCAAAGCAGTTCATTCAATGGGATACATTTTTCAATGAGGGCGATTTCTTAGGAGTATTCTAGTACCATTGAAAAGAAGTAACAGAGAGAATAAGATGTTTACTTTTACTCTTTAGAAAATTAAAATTACAACCAGAAACTCAGTCCTCCTTATTCCAAATAAACCATATGGTACTTCATAAACTAATCAATTAAATATACCCTCAAGCTAATACACTTTAGAGAGCATAGCTTCTTTTTCTCCATTGTGAAACGTCTACTCTATTGATAAATTATGGTAATAAAATATCTTCGCATTTCACAAAGTAAAAGCTTATGAGTATGTGTTCCAAATTTTTTCTTTATATTTTATACATATACAAATGGTATAGAATATTAAGGATATGATCAGCTCTCATGAAAGCATTTTTTACTGCTGTAAGTGTGCACATGCATCACCAGGGGAACTTGCTAGCCTGCCGATGCTGAGGCAGTAGGTCTGGGGTGGAGCCTTAGATGCTGCTTTTCTTAGAAGCTACTGGTGATGCTGATGCTGTCAGTGCAAAGGCCATACTTTGACGGGCAGAGATCCAAAATACATTAGGATTCTATTTTCCTGTTACTCCTATCAAAATATTTATCATTATCTTCCCTATTACATGATGATAGAGAATTTACACACAATGAAAGTTCTCTCAGATTGAAAGTAATATATGACTACACACACATACACACACACACTCTTAACTTTTGCAAATGACCTTACGTTCTCATTACAGGTTCATTGTTCTATAACACTACTCCCAGAGGGTTGTAATTTTGGAGACAAAGCTTTCAAGAAATTAATGGGTTTCTTGTTGTCAGCACTAAGTCACCTCTGTTTTACAGTGAAATCTGAAAGTATATTGATGGCATTTGTCTTTGCATTTCATAGGAAATAATCACCCAAACACTTGACGATTTTTACTTCGCTCTGGGGAGAAACAGTGCCTGCCCATTAAAGGAAGGAATGTGAGAGTGTTCTTTTCCACCCACCTTCTTTGGCTATTTCAGAAGCTTTTATTAGGATTCTGATGGCCTGTTTGTATTCTTTATTTTCCAGCATTTTGTCTGAGAGTAATCTGTAAGTCCTCAGGAGACTCTCACAGGCCAACAAGTTGAGAAAGCGGCCTGTCTCATCCTTCCATATCCGCCCTTGCGTCAATTGATGGAATGCTTCATAATGCTCAGCAGCTTCCAGAAGCTGACCTGAAGAATAAAAGCCATTCATAAATATAAACCACAGGCCAGAACATATTTTCAAAAATTTTGTATACATCTTATGTGTAACTATGAAAGGGGAGTGGAAACCATGGAATAAGGTCAAGAATTTCTAAGGATAAAGAGGATTTGAGCTGGAAAAGGAGCTATCTCAATTTGGATCTCAGATTCGGCAATGACTTTGGATGAACACCTGCTGGAGGGATGTATTTTTGGCAAGTAGAAATTGACAAGGATTACACATGGTTAGAAATGGTGTGAAAACCCAGAAGTAATTACTAATAGCAATAGCTAACCTTTATTTAACATTACTTATGCAAAGTAAGGTACTATGTGTCTTATATGAATTTCTCATTTAATCTTCAAAGCACTCCTGTGAATGAGGGATTGTTATCATTCCCTTTAACAGAAGAGAAAGTGAGGTTAAGAATTTTGCCCATAGGGGCACCTCGGTGGCTCAGTCGGTTAAGTGTCCAACTCTTGATTTCAGCTCAGGTCATGATCTCGCAGTTCATGCATTCAAGACCCATATTGGACTGTGCGCTGACGGTATGGGGCCTGCTTGGGATTCTCTCTTCCCTACCTCTTTATTCCTCCCCTACTTGTGCTCTCTCTCTCTCTCAAAATAAATAAATAAGCTTTTTGTTAAAAATAATTTTGCCCATGATTGCATGCGTTGCATATTTAGTAGGTTAATCTATCCAGGCAGTCTGATTCCAGAGCCCATGTTCTCAACCACTTTGCTGTGCTGCTTTTTTAACGGACAGCATATGTTTCACTCCCAGGAAGAATTCAGGTATCTTGAGAAAGGATGCATCTGTTATAAATTTCAAATTCAATTGCTACAGAGGCATTTGTATACTCCATTTAATTTTTCATAATTAAAATACAACTTAATTGACTTCTGGATTAAATTTGATAATACAGTTCAAAACATTTCTTCACAAAGCCAAAACTCCAAATTAGCTTTAAGTCACTTTGCTCCTTGAAATAGGAACAAGCATATCTCTGGAAGAGTAGTTTGCAGTTCCACTCTATAGATTGATTGTAACTTTACATGTGAATTACCTTGTGAAAAGCCTCACAATATCCTGGCATGTAAATAGTCCTATGGTATAGGAGTCACCTGAATTGAAATTAACTGGAAAGGTACTTGTATGTAGGCATTCCAACAGTAGTGTTTAAGAGTGGATGCAGGCTCTACGCAGCCAGCCTGAGTTCCTATCCCAGCTTTACCCTTTTTGCAGTTTAGCCTCAGGGTAATCACTACCCTCCCTGTACTAGAGTTTAATTCTTTTGCAAAACAGGATGATGGTGTAACTACTCAAGGTGTTATTGTGCGAAATGAATCAATACATGTTCAGCACCTGATACACAGTATTCTTTAAGTACAGCTTACTCTTCCTGCAAAAGATGCAGTTGAGTCCTTATAACAATATCGCCATGGCTAATTAAATTAGCTAATGCAGGGCTTATCAGGCTCTATATATTTTCTTAAATAGGTTTCAGTAGATATCACAGGTTAGATAATACAGGATACTGAAGCCACTGCCATGACTCTTGCATGTAATGTTCCCTTATTTTTGCCCTGAATTTGCTATCAAAATTAGTACTGTATTAAAGAATACACACATAAATAAGAATAACATTCACAAAGAAATACAACAGAGGTGGGCAATCAGGAAATAATCTGTAAAAAAGATGAGTAAAGACATGCCCAGTCTGGGATCCTGTTGCACCATGCAGGAGTGCATGTCAGCAAAGATACATACAGAGAGGGGAATGTGTACAGCAGAGATGTTTAGCAGCTTGTATTATGAAACTTTCACATGGTAAAAGACTACAAAGCCATAAATATGATACTATAGAAAAATATTTCATCACATGGATAGGTGTTTGTGATAATACTAGAAAACATCAGAAAACATTTACAAATCATTATCAGTATTATGTGGGTAATGGATGGTTTCTTTTTCCTTTCTGATTATTGGCATTTTCTAATGTTTCTATCATCAAAATGTTTTTTGTAATAAAAAATATGATAAACGCTATTTTAAAAATAAATATTTATAAATAATATAAGTATTATTTTAAAATAAATATTTTTCATTTTGATGCAAATACTCCAGGTTAAAGTTCACTGCTCTAATCTCTCCTCACATTCAACAGACAATTTTTCTCTTACTTCCCACAAGAGCAGGCATAGTTTCTCATGTCTCTCCTGTTGCACCTCCCAACAGAAACACCTTTCTCCAAATGCCCATTACCTTCGCTTTTTTTTTTTAACTCAAATGGAGCACTGACATATATGTGTGTTATGTTTCCTCTGTTAACTATATTTCTGCCTGTAAAGTATAGCTTTATATTCCTAGAAAGATGTATGCCAGAGTTTTTTTCTTTTTTTTATATCCAGCTTCCATCTACTCATAAGGTACAGGTACATATTTCTTTTTGGTCATGTGAATAGGGAGAGATAGATACAGGAAACTGTGAGTAAACCAGATAGTTCCAGAAAAAATACTGGCACTGTAAGGAGGCTAGCAAGGGCCTAATGGCATCTGTGGTTACACATAGTAACCAGATGGAAAGAGGATCCAAAGGTGTGTTATAAAAGAAACAGATTCACTAAGAATTCCAGGAGGACCGTAAGAAGGTGAACCTCTGGATAACCCAACTAATTACAATGAGATGCAAATGAGGCATAAAGATGTAAATAGTATTCTAAGAACTGATGGCCATGTCCAAGACTTCGTCTACAAGAGAGCAGAAAGAAGAGGCAGGGGAGGGAGGGAAGGGTAGAAGTGTGGAAAGGAGAGGTGGAGGAAATGGAGAGGGGGTGAAGGTAAGGAAGAGTGGAGAAAAGGTGGGGGCTATGTCTTTGTATTCCATAACAGCCAGACTCCTGTCTATGTTATTGGCACTTTTCAGCATCTTGGACAGGCTGCCTAAGCAGAAATGAAGTAAAGGGAGTTTGGGGGACAGTTGGTTACTTTGGCAAGCAACCTGAGAATGAGGTTGAGTTTGATTTTTGCTAGCGATTTGAGGGCTCATATCACTGTACTACTTAGCTCATGACTATTGGCCAAGGTTCAACTCTCAGAAAGAAAAACGTACAGTCTCCCATGAGGAAGAAGCCTGGTCCAAGATGCTTGGGTAAAAAAGAACAGGAAGCTATTCTTTCATGAAGGCCTACTGGGTGCTCATCAAGATTGAAGACATTTCTCCATACATTATCTTATTTAAACTTCCAAAAACTGATGAAGTCAACATGATTATTGCTTTATACTAAAGAGGTAACTGAAGTTCACAAAGGTTAAACAACTCAAATAGCTAAAAAGCACTATTTAGGATTTAAGTCCAGAATCATCAAAAACCCCCATACTGCCTGGTTCACCACATCCGGTGCTAGTCAACAAACTAAGAGTTGGGAGGCTTGGGTGGTATAAGTTATATTTTCCAGATATAAATCTCTTAAGTTAAAAATAATGTTAGAGTTATATAGTTTCCAATTTCTTCTAGTTCTATAATTCTATAATTATACAATTCTGTAATTAAGATAGAATTATAGAATTGTATAATTATAGAATTATAATTTGACTTTTCAGGCAATTGCAGGTAATCTCTAACATAAAAGCACAGATCTTAGCGTCTGATGTGTTTCTGATTGGTTTTTCTGAAGGAGTTTGATGTATAAGTAGCTATGCATCTTTTATCTAAATTCCTGTCTGTTCCATAAACCATGTGGTGACATCCATGGGGCACCTGGAATTCCTAGGGTGCCCCAGACTTAGTCCGCTGTGGCCACATCTAGCTATTCATGGATTCACTTCCCCCTTTTTAACCACTTTGCCACAGATGAGATCACTGGGAATTCTATTTTAAACCGAGGTGCCTAAACAGAGAAAGTAGTGTTTTCCAGTCCCTCTCAGATGTAGAGATGCATTTCTAGAGTTATTTGGTGGCAAAAAGACCAGTAAATAAGCCAGCAAGGATTTGATCCAAACTACCATAAGCACACAAATGACTTGGTTCCAATTTCTAAAGGCTGGTCAGAATTTGAAAGCACATACTATAATATGGTATATTTAATTTTAAAATGTTAAAATAGAGTCCATACTATGAAGAGAACGTAGTAATTTAAATATGCAAGTATTTCCCTTTATGCATGATTAACAACAAAATTGTTTCCATTTAATTTATATTTTCAACTGTAAATAGGATTTTAAAGATTTTCTTACTTTCTGGGTAAAGACCAATATTAAGACTATATGCTTATTAAGACAATGTATCTTGTTTTATCTGAAAAAAATTTAAATTTAATAGACATGAGAGAAATATTATAAAGGGCTATCATGATAGTGGTCATTTCAAGAAAGCTAAATGTAAAAATAAATGAAGACCATGAACCAATTTCTTTGCTCATCTCTTTGTAACTTCTTTAAAGTGTTCATATACAGTTTATCTTTTGTTACCAAATAAACTTAAAATATCAGAACCAGCTGAGGTTTCCAGACCTTACAACCCATCTTGTAGAAGGACAAGTGTCTAGACCACTGTCTTACTATGGGGTTATCAAGTGGTAACATTATTTTCCAATGAAGGAGAGGGCAGAGAGAAGAACGATTGTATCAAAGTACCACAAAAATAAAAGTTAACTGGAAACAGGAGAGAAAAGAGAAGCCCTCAATAATATTGATTGATGTGAGAGGTCTCCGGGGACATGTGAGCTTTCTCATGTTGCAGCAGGAATTACTAGCCAATCTTCATCATCACTATGTGTAACAGAGATCACGGGAGTAAATGTCAATAAGGAAGACAACTAGGGCTCAACTAAGTGCATGGAATGCATGGTTTTATGCTAAGCAAAAATTTAGAGAGTTCACTAATATTCCAAGTGAATCAAGGAAGAACATGGAGCCAAAATGTTTGGCTGGAGGGAGTCTAATGGCCCTCCACCAATACCATCAGTAATCAATTTACTCAATAAC